TCCAAAATTTAGGCGATATTTTACATATGAACAAGATTTACCGGAAGTCGTGGAGTTTATGTGCTTCCTACACTGTTAGTCAGTTCAGTGTCAGTTAGTCAACAGTCTTCCACAGTGGTATACGTTCTTCATTAAAGAAGCATAGCTGATTTCTTCACTATGCCATATGCAGTAGTGTGTTAAATGACAAATGGTGCGAACTTGGTGTCCTTTATCTTCTATACTGATTCCTTCATTCGAGATAGCTTCAGCTGTACTGGACAAAAAGCTCTAAATTTTATCCCGTTAAACTTTCCCGACTTTCTTCTTTTTTTTCAAATGTCACCAAGCAAGACAACGAGTGGACCTTTTTTTTTACAAAGCTTTGTTCTCTTAGCAAAGCTGTCGCCGTTCTACTGGTAACATCTCGACTTAGTACAGTCTACGTATTCAATTCCTCTTACTTTTGGGTGACTGGAAGAATTTTGCGCATATAATCAACTCAGTCTGCATAGACCAGACAAAAACCGAATACTGAATAAAATGTAACTTTTACCAGCTTCCAAAGCATAATGTATCCTCATCTGGAGATCGCAGCGGGTAACACTCTGTAGCCCCCAAACTGTAAACAGTTGCTGCATCAATGGGCTGTAGATAAATCACGAAGTTTTTTGCGGTGATATGCTTATTTATAGGTCTTGAATTTTTGTGACACATCGCCTTTGACCGGTGGTCATTCAGACAGCAATCCACTTGCCTTGACCTTCTGTTGGCCACCTAGCTAGAGGTCGCTTACCAGTTTATCAGTGGCAACTGGTAACCGTAATTTCTAGATATAGGATAGGCATAAGCTGCAGTTAACTTTACCAAATGCTCCACTGAAGTCTGAATGCGGTTCTCGGGATAGCTCAGTGGAAAGTTCCTGATTAGAACGCGACCGCGGCATCTCGACTGCTCTTGTCTAGGCTTGGGTGACCTGACATTATTCCATTCCTCGTGCTTCCCCCTGGAGACATGGCATCCAAGCACTAGTTGGGTGTTAGAGCTGAACGATTTTATTTAGTGCTCGCTCAGTGGTCTAGGTTAGGTGACCTGGTCAAAATTTTGGGTGCAAGCAGTATGCATACAATGCAGGATCTGTTGGACATGTATCCATGATGTTCCAGGGCTTTTGGAAATTTTTCGACAATACGCTTCTGCAATACGCTCAACATGTATTGTCCATCGTTTCCTTAATCACGTAACTTTGTTAGATCAACCTTGATGATGCCTTTTATCATGTGTGCAAAAAGATGTTTGTCCTCACTGTTTGACATGATTTGATATAATGTGAGAGAGCCCATATAACCATCAGAAAATGATGCTACCAAAAAAAACCACCGTAGGGGGCTTGCGGGGACCATTATTTGACTGAAGCTAGCACCATTTGGTAGAAAGCATCCAACTTGAAAGTTATGCGATGGGCAACCTCTCACCAAGAAACGGAATTAGAAATGGCGTACAAACGTCAACCGACTAGGCTCAGTCAGGTAACACTGGACACTGATTTGTACATGCACACCAATGGAATTCGGGGTGATTAAGGAATCATTCCCTCCATGTACATTCCTCTCTGCAATACTCGGATTTTAAAATCGGAAAAGGTCGGCTCTTTGTTTGCACTAATTAGCGTCCAAATATTCAAGACCAAAGGATACTACTACAAATAAGGCGACATCAAACACGGTAACCTTGATCCTCCAGAATAATTTGATATTAAAAATCTGGGCACAACGATTCAAACTAATCAACCCTAGGAGCCTAATTCATTCTAAGGAACGATGATGAACCAGCCGACAAACCACAAATGATCGCATTTGGTCAATATGCATAGCTGCTACCATACTTGGAATATCGGCTGAATTCTTTCGGGTTTCACATTTTTCCTGAGTGCTAAAGGACATTAGTGGAACGTAACCATCTCTGAGTTCATGTAAACTTTCACAAACGATGCGAAGTTTGTAATCCAAATGCAGTTGGGAATTATGTTGAGATCATATTGTACTTGGTCACCAAGGCAGTGTTGTACGATGCAAAATCGGTACTTGAACTCTTATGTACGAGCGTATAAAGCATAAAAGGTAAACTTTATTTGGGGCAGCCAGATACTTGGCCTTACTTGTGAAACATTCGTATTATCCAAGGATATTCGCGGAGTTTTGTGAGCTGTCAACAAAGGTCTAAATTACTGGTTTGCCTTGTAATAGCAAGGTTTAGAAGCTTGTAAAAAGCTAGATTTTTCACTCGTGATTATCTAGTCTAGCCTACCAATCACAAATGTTCCTACATTTACAAACGTTCTTCTGAAGACCTGAAGCACATGTACCGTGTACAGGGGCACGGTCTTTTTCGAAGGGGGAACGTTTGATTTAGACGGTTAATGAAAAGCGAATAGGGAACAACTTTGTTCGCAAGCAAATTCAAATGTAGTCTGGGGGCGGCCGCGTGAACAGGATTGTGAATTAAATGAGCTCAATTCCGAAATGGCATTTTGGACATAGCTGGCTACCCCGTCCTGACAATCTGTTTTGGAAATAAGGGTGAGACGGAAAATAATGGACAAAAGAAACTCATACGTCCAGCCTACGGAAATGCAGCAATGGATTTCTTTCCAAAAAAATCAAGATTCTGGTCACTTATGGTGTTCAAGGCATCAGTCTGAAGGTACTGCAACATGCGATAGAAATGGATAGATTCGATGGAACATGACCGTAATATAGCATTTAAAATCAAAACAGCATACAAAATTATCGCGTAATTTTCTTTTTTCATAGTCTTTTAAATGCTTTAGTAAGTTGAGACACTTTTTATCGCACAAGGTGGAATTAGTAGCAGGGTTTACTTGGTAGGCTCTTGGCCACTGTTTACTGAATCGGGAATCAGCTCTAAGGAGTAACGTACCTGTTCTCAAATAGAAAAGCCCCTCCGAGCTAATTAGAAAGTCTCATGGTCTTGAAAAGTCCAAACAGAAAAAATCTAATTGTTCTACTTTATACATGAGTATATTGGTCTTCAGGCAAGCACACACTGTTTGGTCTATAATCTCCGAGTAGCAGTTTGGCAAAGTTAGGACTGGCTGAATGGATACAAACCAAACAAATCACATGTACCACCTAAATCTCCTAATTTATTACTTAAGTAAGCCAAAACCAGTCACTCTTGAAGTTTCATTTTTTGGCAGGTTATTTACTGAAATGAAGACAAACATCTCTCTATTCCTCTTTGGTGCATTTGCATAAAATAAACGACGTTGAAGATCAGAATGTATATTTTATTTGACTTTGCCTACCATCAGTTTAAGCCCTTCGAAAGACTGAATAACGGCACAAATTCTTAATCTGGTATCCCAAGAGAAATTAGTCTGAATTGCTGTACAAGAAGATGTGAAAGCAATCGGTTGTTGGGAAAATATTCAGGGCCCTTGGCATGATCCACACCAATACCGAAGTTTTGAAGCGTCTTGGTTGTAGATGATGTCAGAAATGAAAAACAAACGACTTTGTGCGCTTCAGGTACGAAAGTATGTGGTCACCATACCCTTATATTATATAGGCGTTGTTAGCAGCCGAACCGAATACATGATAATTTGAAATTTACTTGGATCGGAACATTAAATTATTGTAATTCTCATAGATTGTTTAGAAATATCATTCAGGTCTTGATACGACTTACTGATGATTTGATTAGTTTAGGACCATTCTCGCAGTTCTACAGCTTAAAATCCTGGAGTGTTCTTGGGGTCACGTGAACCTTCAATACATACGGATATATATAACTGAGTTAATTGAACAAACTGAGTTTTCGACCCAAAGAAAACGACTGCCGTTCATCTGAGTTCAGTTGGGACCTTTGTACTCCCTCATTCAAGGTTCACGTGAATGTCTCTGAACGTCTTTGTAAACGCCACAGGACATGATACCTGAGCTAATCATTTGGTGGCTATGCTATCACTTCATAGGTGGATTGCTGAAGTCTACTGGTTTTAAGTTCCTGTTTTTTAGGCTTGCAAAAACTCGCTAGATCCACATATTCAACCAAAATCATCGGATAGCTAAAGTTTCAGATATCTTATATTTTTTGGTTCCGAGGCTTTTCATATAAATCACTACCTTTATTTTTTTCAGATTTTTTGGATGAGTGCTGCTACTTATTACTGTATAGCATAGGGTCTTCTATTATCAAGCCACTCAAAGTTGGCCCTGTAGCCAAGATTAATAATCGTTTATCCATTTTGCCGCTTACGTTTTGAGATGAAGGATACGACTGCAAATAAAAGAGTGCTCTGTGTGCCTAACCAAAGTAAATATGACCGCCTCAACTTTTAATGTTGCTGGTAATAGCTCGTAGTTTGCCATGCAGTTAAGAAATGAGTGTTTACGAAATTCCTCATCCCATAACGGGAGATTTACACTTTCTGCGCCAAAATTAGAGAAGCACACGGTTTCGTGAACGTATTTGGAAAAGTATATCAAATTTTGGCCACCCATGTTCACAATTATCGAATGTGATGAGAATTTGGTCGGGCCACAGCGCTTACATAATCTAACATACACTGTGTATGAAGGGATATTTGGTTGATTTGAAAAACAGTGTGCTGCATAAAGTAGAAAAAACAAATCACCTTTTGGAGATTCTAACGATTATCAAAGAATTATAACCTGTAACACCTATTCCCCTAGTTGAGTCAGAGATAGTGACCTTCGTTCATTTGATCTAATGTTCACTTAAGTTTCTGAATAGGTGAAACATGTTAAATAAGCAATGACCAGCCACATATATCGTCGTTTAACTGGCGGACTAACTGTTATCACCTGACTGATTGACTGGCTGGATTAATTACGCCTGCTAATTCACTGTGTTAGTCACGATATCTATCCGCCTATAAAATGAGTTGAACTAACTAATCATCGCTTATTTTAGCATGTTGTCCGCAGGAGAATTCATTTTATGGTCATACAGATACCTGAAGCCTTCATCAAGCAATGACAACGGACCTGAGTTATCAGACTATTCGCTCAGCCCATCAGGCTCGTGAATCAGTAAGTTTTCTCCAAAGTTTTTAAAATAAATGTCAAACCCAGGAAGAACAACGATCAGCCAATCGAAAGAAAAATCTTCTATTACTGGTGATGCACTACTTGAGTGAAGAGGGGTGAGTTGAACTAAAAAGGCTTTTATTTACATATCACAGCTATGTCGAGTCAGCCATGTCTCTGTCTCGTGAAACCAATTTGGACTTTAGAAAATACGAAGTCTGTGACAATGTGGATTTAGAGACCATACTAATGGAGTACGAAAGCTATTATTATGTAAAATTCCACAAGTTCCCAAGGATAACAAAGAAACTGAAAGGTAATACTTCGTTCTACTGAATTATCCCATTCTACGTCTCTAACAGATCACCAGCCAATGTCCGATTCATTGCGAGGAAGTCATAAAATTCGAACCTCAAAAAAGTCTGTCTCCTTCATGTTTCTACTTACTATGGAGTTTTCCCTATTCAGACCTGTTTTACCGAGTCTATTGCTTAATAAGCCCCGCAATTTCCTTGATGAAAACGGGGCTGGAGATATTTCGATGGAACGGCAAAATTATTCTGCGAATTGTCGACCGAAATGGGGTGAGAAGGGAGCATTTAGAAAGGTGATTATTTTTGTTTCTTTACTGGAGCACGGACGCAACAAGTTTGGCTGTAAAATGCTTTGCCTCTTTGTGTTCCATAACATCGCAGAGATACTACCGTTGGCTGGTTAAAATCAAGTCGCGTGCTGACTTTGAACAGGGTCTTGCGTGCTGAAGATATCTAGACGTTTGCCTGATGGAGCAAGGGGCTTAATCTGATCACAACTTGGAACTCCTTAGTGGCAAAGGAGTAAAAGTAGACCCATGTCCTGAACAACATTGCTACAGGAACTTCAGCGTGTTCTAAAAACTTCTTGAACCAGTAGCATTGAGGATTTCAACAATCTTTGAGCCTTGGAACTTATAGGGCACAACACTGGTTGTCCACAATGCCAAAAGTTGAGTTTGAAACTGGGGGTATAGTTTTCACCGAGCCTGGATTTCTCTATGTGAATTTTTCACTGGAAGCATGTTATATCACCTCTAAAAAAAGATCTCCCACAGAGTCTATACCGCGATTTTTAATCAGAAAATGGCAGTCCTGTCATTTCCTCACTGTTTTGATGGTTTGTTTCATAATGATTTTAAATAACAAAGTTACCCAAAGTTGCATACAAACCAACATCAGGGATGAACATGAAGGCGAAAATCAGGCGTGTGCACAGCGTTTTTACTAAAGCTACATAGGAAACCCTTTCTTCAGTCATACAAACGAAAACAAGTACGAGGATACGAGGCCAAATCATATATGGAAACTCTAGCTAGGTCTGTCACCGAATTGTACGCATAGTTCTGGAGTAAACCCACATGGATAAAAACAAAAGGTGATCCGGTGGTTGAAGACCTGGAACGGCAACATTGTAAACAACTTACATTCCGTCAGGACTGTGGAAGCTCACCTGTCTAGCCTAACAGCGAAGCTTGAGATTGGTCCTACCTTTTTGAAAGCAGTTCGTACTAATGGCTGTGGGGTCAATCAGTATGAATTGACTGGAAGGAATTATGGGTGGCTACGTGGTACCTCAGGCCATGTTGTCTCGGTGAGGACACCAATGCAATTATGAGGCAGGACGTGAAGGCACTAAATAAACCAAACCGGTTGGATCGACTAAAGCACATGTTAGACTAGTTTTGATTTCCCCAGCGGTTATAATCTAATAGTGCAGCTTATCTGACACGACGACGCCACAACAAACACTTAAATCTATGATATTTGATACCCGTTCAACACTCTAGACGAACGTAGAAACTACTTCTATGTACATATCACCGTCTGGCAGCATATGCACATTTGAGGTAAATAATGGTCTTTTGGAAACTGGATGACAAAATGTGCCACATACAGCAAAATCAAGCGGATATGATGATGGTGGTTATCCTTCGGAAGAGTGGTCACAGCCGGCTAGGTTCCTTAACGTCCTTAAGTCAACCATTAGAAGTTACACAAGCAATTTTCGTCGTGAGTGGTCTCTGTGAGAAGTGTGTTCACAATATGGGGGAATGCAACAGCAATAAATTTCTCAAAGGAGTAATGCGGACAAGGCAGCATTTGATACCATTGCGTGCCTATGTGAACAAAGTCAGATCACGTGTATCTACAGGTTGCATTCATTGATGGTCCAATGAGAGTGCGACCGAATACCAATAATTCCCATATGCTCAACAGTTGTTGGCCTGTTCGCTTAGCGTAGTTGTTAGTGAGCAAGAGTGGTACAAAAGTTCTAGGGGGCTCATCCCATACGATGAATCGTTCCTCGCCTCCTATACAACCTGGGGTTTGCTTAACGGTGTGATGTGGTAACGAAGGACAAGAGGCTACTGGAGTAGTACTGTCCAAGTATTTAATGGAAGATGGATCCACCATAAATACAAGGCTGAAAAATATAGGCAGTGAGGCAACATAAGTCCAAGTAGATATCGAAGTTGGAGACAATATGTATATTCAAGCAAAACGTGAAGGCCAACAGAGAAACGGGACCTATCGATGAGTGAAATTCTGTTGTTCTTCTTGAATAGTAGAGACTCTATAAACAAATGACCTACGAAAATAGGAAAAAAATTCGACAGCATATGATCAGTCGCTAGCAGGTCAACGGTAAAGTGTGCAACACCTCTGCAAAATTGCTTGTTGAACACATAGCTCTTGTGCTTCATTCAGCATCTTCTCCCTTATACAGTTTGCAACTGAAACAAGGATCTCTTGCATTTGAGTAAACTAAACTACGAAATGACTGCTCCTAGCCGGAACTTATATGTTGTGCCCTGAAAATTTCTAACCGCACTCGCGTATTCCATCTTCTAATGCAGTCAAAAGCCGACGCAATCAACACTGAGAAGCATCTCGATGTAAGCCATAATTAGTTTTCGTTTCTCAAGAGCTTCTTTCTGTTCCCATTACACTTGTATTTGTTTTTTCTCAGTCAGATTTTCCGTGCCGATCATGTAACTTTGTACGACATAATTTGTTACATTCACCTTTTTGTGTTTCTGTCCCTGCTGAAAGACGTTGGGCTGTAATGTACAAATCCATTTCATATGAATATAATACAAGTGGCATGCTAAGTTCTCTTCGCATAGTTCATTCTACTGCTCATCAGAATGTAGTCAGGCATCTGCGATTGATTCACTTTTTAAGTGGTCTGCACTTACGGTTTCTCGTAACCTCATTGCGCTTGATAAGACAAGGCTTGGGCATCTTACATATGAACATAGAGAAGCACAATGCGAGCGGATATTATATGCTGCTGATCGAACCTTTATCGTCATCATTGTGGGTTTTGTTACCACAAACTACCATTGAATAATTACTTAAAAAGATAGGGAGATACATTTTCAAATGGAACAAAACCACAAAAACGTAAGCTGGATTTGTTATCAGCAAGCAAATAGGCAATAGTATTCTTTTATAATGCCCATCGCAGTTTGCCGGAAGTTTTCTTGGGCTAAATAAACGTGTTTGAACAGCAGCATTTAATAGTTCCCTATATTTCTAAACCATTGTCCATTTTCGAAAGTTAGGCCTTTGTCTATCTTATGGAAATGATGTATCATCAGAGATTATTTACTGTTCTTGACGGACACAATATGTATTTTTGCCGTTCAAGGGATGCACTGGTTCCGAAAGAAGTTAAGTAGAAAATAGCCGAATGAAACCAGCTACTTAGAAATGGTCCGGTGTGGTGGCTCAAAAAAGGGTAACAAGTAAAACACTGAGGTAAGGCGTTGGTCTGATTATACGGAAAACAAGCGAATGTTATTGAACAGCCCGGTAAACAAGGTGGCACCTGGTGATTCAAACCAATACAAGATTTAGTGACCCACTCCACAGGTGCAGTGTGGCTTGATCCCAAGAGCAGCATTCGGTTGGGTGCGGCAGTCGCCAGGGCGAAAGATATCATGGTCATACCGGAAACGAGACCAAGCAATTCTAAGCTAGTTGCTTACTGGCCTTACAAGGAAATCACCAACTGCCCATATTTGTGACCAAATAAGATAAACTTGATGTCCACATACTGGAAATGACGTAGTTTAAGAACTGTGCTGAATTCTTTGAAATGTACGCATGAAGACGGACTCCTGAAATAAACGTCTGATTACACGTAGTAACCCATTGTACGGCTTCGTGAGATCGCTACAAAAGACTTCTGTATATCAAATTGACCAATTTCAGATTGCTTTTCCGGCTTGTAACGAGTCTATTAGCCATGTTTTCTGCTTGATGAATGTGAAAAATTTCTTTGCGTTTTAAACCGTCAGACTACTGCAAGTTTCTTCATTAAATTCTATCTGACGGCAGGTGAACAGTGCGGTAACTTTGTCAATTGAAGGCAAGTCGGACATGAACAAATCTAACCAATGCACAAACGGATCAGTAGTTGTTCGCACTGGGCCACAGAACACAACGTGTGCAGACACACCATCGTCTATGCAAACCTCTGTTGGACCACATAGACCTGGACAGATTGTCGATTATCGGGTGATATTGAACCAGCAAACAAAGTTAACTTCGGAAGAGATGAGAGGCAATACAGATCAACAAGTTCGTGACCAGAATGACCGCTTTTACTCCTTTGTGTTTTTACTTGATCACGAATATCGGGTAAATTACAACCAGACAAACGATAAGTGGCAACCTAATTTCCCTATAGAGTGGGAGTAAAATGTGGCCCTCCAAAAGACATAAGCTGAGAGACTTCCATATTAACATGGTCGAATAGTCCGAGCAAACTGAGAAAGAAAGCTGGCGCGTTTTAGGCAACAAACTCTTTTTACATGTAGCAGAGTGACGTCATTGCTTTCGCAACATTGGGCGTCGTTGTCAAACGGCGATAAATACCCGACCCGAAATTCTTTCTGAATGGGGAACGGCGTCTAATCATTCTCACAGGTGGTTTACGTTGCTGTATTTCCTAAACTAGATGCTATTTTCTAGTGGAAATTTTCCCAGTTAATCAGGTCATTGGTGAGTTACTCGGTTGGAGGAGGAACCATGATTTAAGGTTTCCACTGTCATGACAGTTCAGGTATTCTAAAGCATTATTTTCCTGTGTGCACGTGTGCAAGCAAGATCGTAACTCTGAAAATGGTCTTAGAGAATGTTGTGTAAAAATGGACCTGGAAAGTAAAATTTTCATCCAAATGCGCCTTATTCTGCATCCGGTGAAAGTTTGCTTGTTTTTGAACTCACATCGGAAATGTTGGAAACAAAACACTTGCCAATACGTACCTTGCAATTAGTGCAGAATACCCTAAAAAGATTTACTACTAAAAGGCATTGCATATTAGAATGTAATATATTGATACATCCCGCGTGTCTTCAGAACTTGTTTTTCAACACGGACGTAGGTTTCTCCTCACGAAGACCGAAGTGACTGAAAGAGATTGGAAATATTGTCGCTCCACATAAATTCATTGTGATCTAACTCAGTGAGATTACCCAAAGATGCCGTTCACTTTTCAATTGCAGGAACGACTTTTGAAGCCCTTAGGTGGGTACGCAGGCTATACAGGTGAATGGAGAGAACTTGCAATGACAATTTCTCGGGTGAGTTGGACAATATCGTGCTTTTTGGACTAATTTATGCTCCGTGCCTAAAGAGCATTCTTCATCATATTTGTCCGAATTGTCTTTAATTCCCACACTTGCGAACAATCCAGAACAGTCATGCACTCATTTGAAGACACAGATGATGTTCATGCGCGGCTTAAATGAGTTTGTTGTCAAGGTTACTTTTCAGGCGGACGTGCGGCTCAAAGCCCGGTTCACGGTTCCGGTGATCCGACTTACGAGATATCCAGATGCATTTCCTCAATAGAAAGTGACTCTTAGACCGGGGACGTCAAACAGATTCCATCAACCCTACATAAAGGAATGTGTAATACTCCTACTCGACTTGAGCCTATCTGGTCTCATAAATCCTGAACAGTGCACTTGCCATTCGGACACAGATGTCTAAAGTGTTTGGTCACCGAGTATTCCATGATATTTGTTTGTCCTTGAATACCACGCACGATTTGGGTTTTTGGGAAGCGAATTTTGGTGTCGAACAGAATTTGTTCACTGATTCGATGTGAAATGAAGCACATGTACGTGTAGAACTATAGGTTGAGCAGGACTGTCTAGCTAATGCCATTTCTCTGTCACCATTTCACTATCGCTACCGAGGCGTGTTTACTCACATTGTAATGAGTATTTGAGGAAGTTCATTAAAAAATTTAACCTTACTGACCTGTTTGCTTTTAGGAAATCTTTCTCGAAAACCCAAACGTTCGGTGGGACGACATTATTGGCCTGAGTTCGGCCAAACGACTGGTGAAGGAAGCCGTGGTGTATCCGATCAAAGTGTGTTTTTACCTGTGTGCGTTGTTTTACCTGGTGAATTACAATTACACACAGTTATACCATTAGATGCTGCATTCCTGGAGTACCGGTTTGGAAGCTCTAGTTATTCCATACACTATAGTGGTTTCGTCTTCTGTGCCTATTTGAGATGGTAGTGTATGAGTATAAGGTTACGTACTCGTCCACTTGACAAGATAGAAGAAATAAGAAACTTCAAGCATTTAAACGAAACAATACTTCAAATGCGTTAGATATTTGAGTTTGGAAGCCCTCCTACGTGTGGCCATAACCATATAGCAAGCAGCTGCGTAAACTTTACGTCAATCCATTGGATACTTAGATTGTCTCAGTGACCGTTTTGATGTGGGAGTGCTTCAGAGTGAGTGCGTGAAACCTACAGTAGATCTCGTACTTTTCCCGTCCTTTTTTACCACACAGTATATCAAAATAGGCCTTACTGTTGATTATTATTGCAGGGAAGCATAATTGTCAACACTGATGTGGTTGGTAATTCGTCAGGATACCAGTGGTTCCAGTGTGACGTGTGTTTGAACCTTCCCAGCACCATCTCCATAGGTCATAGCTTTTGCTTATGTTCCGAATTTTCACCTGCAGTTAGAACATATCCCATTCTGCGTTTCCTCTGAAAAGCAGTCACTTTTGTCGAGGCAAAGGTGTTTTATCTCACAGGCGAAGCAATGTCTCCAAAATATTACTCACACTATTTTGAGCAACACGCCCAATCGAGGAATTCGTTGCTGTGTGCACGCTCAAAGACCATCTGATGGGTGGACGCGTCGAATTAGCCGATAAAAGTGTTGTAATCTGGACTATTCTTTCTTGTTTCATCAAGAGGCAGAAACTAGAAAAACGTCATAAATCAATTCCACATCGATAAATTTTATACTTCTCAACTTTGCTTACAATACCCCCGGAGTGTGAACAAACTATGCCTTGTTCCCGAAAGGGATGTCAGATATGATGGATGTTGACGTACCTCAATCCTCAGTCCAAGAAAAAAGGCTCAGTCTGACTAATTACAAGATTGCGTTGATCTGTCCAACCAACAACCTTTCGTGTGTAGGAAACCAGGGTATTTGCACGAAGTTACCAGCACCATTAGAATCACTTCATATCAGGGCATAAATACTCTCTTAGTAAGTAAAATAAGTAAAGTACAGATCAAATATGAACTCACTTCAGTCCTCCAACTTAATAAAAAGCCAATAGAATGTCTTTCAAGTCCTACCGTTTTGCCACTTCTGGCAGCACTATAAAAATCCGATTTCCTCTGTTTCAGTATCCCCAACTTTTTTCCGGAATTCTCTCGCCTTGGAAAGGTTTGCTGCTCTACGGGCCTCCAGGTGAGTTAAACCAGCGACAAGCGACGTGAAACCTATTTCCAAGGATGTTTGGCCATTTTGACGAATTTATTTGGTTAATGAACAGTCGAATTCCTTAGGCAAGCCTAATCTTTACCGTACACTGGCAATATTATTGACATTTTCTACGTTGTTGAGCAAAGAAAGAAGTTCAGATGTAAAGGAACCGTACTGCGTGTCAGAGTTTAAACACTAGGTCAGTGCATCCCCAGTGAGAGACTAGTGGTTGCTAAATGTCCATACCGTATAGTCTAGTTCAGCAAAGGCTTGATAGTTTCAAGAAGACCTGTTCGGACCGTAGAACCTTCAAGATACTGTTGTTGAAGGTGTTCCTTCGTATAACTAAGACTTACTCAAGATTCCTGACTGGATGCGTATTGCTTCGCTGAAATTTATAGCTCAGTATACTTAGAAGTTTTGTTAAATGGATATCAAGTGTTGTCAGATGGAAGAAGTTTAAATAAACAGTGTATACGTGCTTTCCGAGAAAGCGTAACTTCTGATGGGTAAATCAGTACTCGGGCACACCAATCACATCGCTCAAGTGTGAACGCGTTCGCCTGTTCAGACGTGATAATTCAGATGCGCCCAACGTGCGTTGGTGAAGTAGTGGTTACACGCTCGCCTCGCATGTCACATGTCCGGGGGTCAAATCCTGGCACGGCCATTGAATATGCACTGCTGATGAGCTCTAATAAGAGCGAAACTCGAGTCCAGTGCTTCCCTTTGGTGTGGACTCACCGGAATAATTACGCCAGAACAGGAACACGGCCGTTCAAACGATAGTGGTGTGGCTATGAATAAATCAGTAGAGATGATAAAGTGGCGGACGATAGGCAAATAGAAAAATTATGTTCATCATCATCATCATCATCATCAACGACAGCATGACATCAGTGCTCAACACCGATGCTTCACTGCCGTACAGCCATGACTTATTTGAAAGCCTTATTGTAAAGAAAAGAATAAAGGTGGATGGGGGAGGGACTTAGTGCT